TCTCAGAGTCAGCCACAGTTTGTTATGATCTACACAGTCAAATGCCTTTGCATAGTCAATGAAACACAGATAGACATTCCTCTGGTATTCCCTGCCTTCAGCCAAGATCCATCTAACATCAGCTACAATATCTCTAGTACCATGACCCCTTCTAATCCTAGCCTGGACTTCTGGTAGTTCTCTGTTGATGTGCTGTTCCAGTCGTTTTTGGATAATCTTCAGTCAAACCTTGCTTACATGTGAAATCAGTGAGATTGTTCTGTTTGTAGAGGCAAAATAGATAGGCAGTGAAAATCAGGATGAGGAATATTTGAAATTAAGTCATGGAGGAAGACAACATCCCAATCTAGGCTGGGCTGGCTACTCTAGATTCTTTGAGGCCAGTAAAAACTTCCTAACAGGCTGGATGCCCTGGCTTTCAATGGTGCCTAGAATAGAAGTGCTGACTCTAGCCCAGATTTTATTTGGAAGCCTTAGTAATTTCTCAGACAAGATGAAACTTTGACTTGACTGGCCACTCCAACTCCACCTCTTGCTCTATTGTCAGACACATTCTCAGGCCAGACACATGGTCAAGTGCCCATCCCATCCCTCTCCAGGATGACTCCTTTTCCTGTTTCTCTTTACAAAATTGTTGTTCCTTAGTGTTGCATAGTATTTTGTTGAGTGGATGAACCACAACTTCTCAATCCATCTGTTTGTTGATGGAAATTTGGATGATTTCTGTTTTCTTGCTATTGTGAATAATGCTGCTATGAGCCAGATATATATATTTCCATTCATGTTGCAGTTCTGATTTCCTTGGCATATATTACTAGCAGTGGAATAGCTGAGTTATATGAGATTTTCACGGCCAATCTTTTGAGGAAATTCTAAACTGCCTTCTACAGAGTTTGCACCAATTTACACTCCCACCAACAATGCATTAGAGTTCCAATTTTTCCACATTATCTCCAACATTTATTGTTTGTTTTCCTGTTAAACTTTGCTACTGTTAACTAGGGTGAGAGGTATGGTAGTTCATTGTTGTTTTGATTTGCATATCCCTCTTTGCTAGTTATTTTGAACAATTGATTTTTATATGTTGATTTTACATTCTTTCACTCTACTAACTTGGTCTGCTAGGTCTAACAAGTTGTTGGTTTTTGTTCTGTTAACTTGGTCTACCAAGTCTAACAGGTTTAGGTTTGGTGACTTTTTTTCGTTTGTTTTTTGTGTCTTTGGAGTTTTCTATGTATTCTACCACTTCGTCTGCATATAGTGACAGTTTTAACCACCTCTTTGCCAATTTAGATACCTCTTATTTCCTTCTCTTGACTTATTGACCAGGCTTGAAATTCCAATACAATATTTAATAGAAATGGTGATAGTGAGGATGCTTTCCTTGTCCCTGTTCACAGGGAGGATGTCTTTTGTCTCTCTCCGACGGGAATAATATTGGCTCTTGGTTTTGTGTATATGCTTTTTACTATGTTAAAGAGATTCTTCTCCATTCCTATTTTTCAGAGTGTTTCAATTAGGAAGGAGTGTTGGATTTTGTTTAAGGCTTTTTTTTTGTTATGCATCAGAGAGCTGGACAATTACTAGGGCTGATAGAAGGAGAATTGATACCTTTTAGATGTGGTGTTGGAGTGGAGTATTGAATATACCATGGATTGATAAGAAAACAAACAGGTTTGTCTTGGAAAGGGTGAAGCCAGGCTGCTCCTTGGAGGAAAGGATTCTGAAGCTTTGTCTGACATACTTTGGACGTGTTGCAAGGAGGGACCAGTCCTTGGAGAGGGACGTCATGCTTGTGAGGGTGGAGGGACAGCACAGAAGAGGAAGACTCTTTATTAGATGGGTTGATTAAGTGACTGGGATAATGGGGGTAGGTGTGTCAGAGACAGTGAGATTGGCACAGGATAGGGCAGGGTTTAGGGCTGTTGTACATAAGGTCGCTGTGTGTTGCAGGTAACTCAAAGGCACATAAAAGCAACATTAAAAGGATTATGCCTTTGCTTTATTAATGTGATGGATACATTGTTTTTCTTATGTTGAACCATCATTTTATTCCTATTATGAATCCTATTATTTTTTAATATACTGTTGGATTCTTTTGGCCAGGTTGGCTTTTTGCATCTATTTTCATGAGATGTATTGGTCTATAATTTGTGGTTTAGTTTGATTTTTTAAATAATGCCTTTGTCTGATTTTGGTACAAGGGTTAAGCAAGCTTCATAGACTAACTCTGGGGTGCACCTTCTTTTTAGAGATAATTTAAGTAGATTTGACAACTGTTTGGCTTTGAATGTTGTAGAATTAATCCATGAAGCCCTCTAAGCCAGAACATTTTTTGGAGAGGGGAAGGGAGTCGTTGTATGACTTGTTCACTTTCTTTAGTGATGAATCTGTTCCGCTTCTGTCTGTGTTAATTTGAGTAGGGAGTTGGTTTCTATAAATTTGTCCATTTCCTCTAAACTTTTAAATTTGTTGGAGTAAAGCTTTCATAATATTCAAATATTACTGATTTAATTCGATCTGATTGTTTTGTGATGTTACCTCTTTCACATCTTATTTGAGTTACTTGTTTCATTTCTATGTTAAATTTACCAATAGTTTGTCTATTTATTAACTCTTTTACTGAACCAGTCCTGCTTTTGTTGATGGTGTCAATCATTTTTCTGTTTTCTATCCCATTGTTTTTGGCTCTTTTCCTTATAATTTATATCTTCTGGAGGTTGTGGGATTAGCTTGTTGTGCTTTCTCTATTTTTTGGAGATGTTAAGTAGTTTATTTTGTGCTCTTTTTCTTCTTTTTTTAAATGTGTTTGTTTATTGCTATGAAGTGACCTCTGAGTATTACCTTAGCTCTATCCCAGAGGTTTTGATGTATCATTGTGTTTTCATTTTCATTCATTTTGAGAAGCTTTTTAATTTCAGTTTTTATTTCTTCTATAAATCAGTAGTGTTTATGGAAGATGTTATCTGGTTTCCAAGTTGGTATTCTTTTTTCTTTTAGCCTTTTGGTGTTAATGTCTAATTTCATGGACTTGTGGTCTAAGAAGATACTTTACATTACTTCAGTGGGCTGGAATTTATTGAGGC